CCTACGGCACGCTGTCAGTCTCCTCCGCCTCCACCAGGCACGACTGGTCCGTGTCCAGGACTCGGAACGGAGGGTGGTACTCGAACGCCGTCACAATAGTGGAGCCCAGGCTGTGCTTCTGATGCAGGAACCAAATAACTGCAGAGACTCCCACGATAGCTAGCACGCTGAGAATGACCAGTGCGGACAGCAGCGGGCTGGGTTCTGAGGGGGGATAAGTAACAATGTAAGGAAGCTCAATGCTATAAACACAAAAATCACACAAGTAAAGAAACTGTGAACAAATAAGCTCAAAGGTTGACCTACTTTGTTTGGCTTCCTCTGCCTCTGAAAGAAAGAAAAACACAGTGAGGCTTGAGAAAATAGTTGAGTTGAATTTACTAATATCGTTCTGAAATAGCATACCAACAGGCCAAGAACATGTAAAGACTCTGATCTTACTCTGATTTGTCTCACAAATCACTCCATTCTCCAAATCATCCAGGCAGCTGACGTTTTCCCACTTTCCCGTCTTGCTGTTCAGAGCCACACATGTATCCATGGGCACCAGGTCTGATGGAGAAGAGCTGTCCTCCCAGTTAGTGAACTGCACCGGGCTGTCACCAAACCACTTCATGTCCTCACCTGACAAAGACAAAGCATGTTCAGCATTACTACTAGCAGTACTCCATGCACAGTGACACACACTACAGGCAATGTTAACTGTGTGATGGTGGAAATATAGTGCAACTATTGAGTGGACATTGTCTGACTAACTACTGTTTCCAATTTTGGCATGCATGATGTAAGAGAAATATGAGATATGCGCTAAAGTGAAAACTATACGATGTGCCATGAACAAAAATGAAAAAGTGTGTATTAGATATTACTCTTTTTTTTGTCTCTTAGGTGTTTGTGAGGTTTTACACAATACCTTTGTTTGCAACATTTCCCTCCTTAATTCAAAATATTTCTAAAAAGATGTTTTTTTTTCCCACCACTTAATTGGCAACAAACTAATCTGAGGGTAGCTCTTAGCTAGATTGAGATGCATCCAACTATATCAAAATTGGAAGAAAGAATAAAAAGAACAGGCCTTCATTCAAAAAAATATGATGAGGCAGAAAGAATTGCTTGTTTAGATCAAATGATTAAGATAAATTCAGACTTGCAATGAGTTTAATAATAAAAATGCTGAAAACATGACAACATGACAACAATGAAACTGAGATAATTTTTTTTTTTAGATGATTACAGGAGACAAGGAGCTCTAAAAGGACTCAAAAGTATGACATTTAATTGACTTTGGGTTCAGATTTTTCATTGAATTAAAAAGGAAACCAGTCTCCAACATAGAGCCAAAACAAATGAACGGACTCTGAGACGGAACACGTTATAGCTATCGTACAAAAGTTTGAAACAACAATGTTTTAGGATCAAGGGTCAGTTTTCCACCTAGATATCTACAAATAATTGGATAAAGTGTTTCCTGTTTGATTTTCATAAGGGATCAGATTTTATCTCACGGTAGCATGTTTCCGCTGTCCTTCAGTCACATGGTACTTACTGTTTGTGTCGTAATACATTCCAAGCCACACGTTGACAAGGCCTTTCCACACCTCAGGGCTATATTTAATGACAAAGTCATTCTCCTCTGTGCTCTGGATTGTCAAAAGCTCTGGGAAAACAGCAAAGCAATTGTTTTTTTTGGACAACAGTAAAAAACATAATCTGAGAATACTGGTGCAATGAGTTGTGAATAATTCAATTGTCTCAGGTACCAAATCCTTGGCAGAGAGTTTTTGCTCTGTCAAAAGAGTAGATTTTGACTTTATCTTCTTCTCCATGGACAAAGTGGTAACAGCTGTCTCCATACGGCACCCAGGTGCGTCCGTCTGCAGGGCAGTCTGAGAAACATCACAGGATAAAACATGGTTCAAAATCTATTGACTGAACACACAAATGACTAACTATTCCAAATGACCCTTCTGCCTGTTTTGGTTAAATTTCATATCATGTTTTATTTATGCCCACAACTAATGTTTATTTTCATCATTAATGATTCTGCTGTCAGCTGATTTTTTTTTGTTGATGTAAGAATAGATCAATCAAGCTTTCCTTTAATGAAAAGTAAAAAAAAAAAAAAAATGCTGTCACTATTATGCAATTGCTTCTTTTTCCCCAAAACATTTCAAAACGTCTATTGACAGTCACTAATAACAAAGGAGAACATGAAATCGTCACATTGAAGAAGGTGGAACCATGTTTTCACCATTTTCACCAGTGAGTATCATTCTACAACCTTAATCATAGTTTGACAGACTGCACAGTTTGAAGGATTTTGTTTCATCTTGTGACCAATGTTCCTCTTTATCACTGGAGTTTGTGGTTTGATCTTTCACATGTTTGAGATACACAGCCCCCCCCCCCCTTCTTCAGTCACATTGTTGCCAGCTTGTCTGTGTCTCATCTTTGCAGAAGTGTTAAGGCAGTTTCATTGTACCTAAACGCAGACCCACGAATCATCACACTACTAAAAGAAAAATCGAGTGTCTGTAATGGGATTTGGTTACGATGCAAATTAGCCATGATAGGCACCTCGGGGCAATGTAGAAAGAATGCTGTCCTACTATAAACCCAGTGGAAGAGGTTAATCAAGGATTCATATTTGACTTTACAAAATAAATACTGTTTCGCAACTGTGGAAAACACACAACTTTTAATTAGGTTACACATTCCTGCACAAGCGGAGTGTGATATAACGTCAGTTCAAAAGTTATGCTGCTATATTGCACAACAACAGTGCGGACCTTCAGGAAAGTTATTAATGGCTTCCTGTTCAAACTAAACAGCAAACTGTCAAGGTTTTTAAGGACACATTACTGTAACAAAGGCCTGAGCCCTGCTAATTTTAACCGCTGCGTACAACCAAAGCTATGCCTGGAGAAGAACTGTCACGATAATAAGAGTGCTTACCTCCAGTCAAACACAACTGTAGCTGAACACACAACACAAACACAAAGCACAACACTGGTCGAGGACAGTGGGTTTTCCTCAGCGACTCCATGACAGTCAGAGAAGACAGGAAAATCATGTGCTACTACTTTTCTCACTGTTGCTGCTCGACTCAAGTATCCGCAGCAACGTGAGTGAAATCCCACCCACACACAGCAGGAACTACTCACTGGTAAAAACAGCCCTGAAACCCACTGAAACCCACTGAAACCCACTCCTATCACCTCAACTGTTTTACACCAACTTAGTGATATCTGTGTGTTACACTGCCTTGCTAAAACATGAAAACAAAACCTTTATCAAACTTTTAATTCCAGCTTCAATATAAAACATATAGCCTGTATTGATGAAGAATAATTAGATTAATGTAAAATTTGCTCAAATGTTATTAGTCTGTATTTTACCGCTGTTGAACAGTGGGCATTACAGCGTGTAACAGTGACAATCCCCCACATTATTATTATTATTATTATTTTATTCATACAGGAACCTCTAGGTGGTGCTGTTCGCACATACTTCACCAAACTGTATGACTTTCTGGATTTGTAGTTCTGTCCTGTACAAAGCAAGAAGTGTTTTTAAAACATAAAAGTTCATTGTGTAAATTATAATGAATTTATTTTTATTCCGTTTTATACATAACAACGGTGAACTGATTGTACATGACTCATTTGGTTCTTTTGTAATTTCCATAACGTCATGTGGACGATGGACTCACTCAATACAATTACATGGGTTTACAAAACATAATGAATATTAAAACACATTCTGGTCCCCTGACAGAAAATGTTTGTGCATCATTTTATATTGTTGACGAATAAATAAGATTAATTATTAATCAAAAAACAACATAGTTCTATCTTTTCAAATGTAGTTTGGCTGCATCTCTGTACTTAAAATGTAACTGAATATATCTGGGCTGATACTTAACATTAAATGTAGTTTCAAATGGTCTTTTAGGCCCCTGGTATAAATAAAAAAGCAGTTCTCTCTTTCTAATCTGAAGACATTTGAAGGAGATATAAGGAGCTTCCTACCTGGGTAGGTGAGGGAGGAAAAAGCAAAGGGCCCATTGGGACAGGATGGTTGTTTCTTAGGGGGGAAATAATGTCTATAACTTGGTTGCTAGTAGACGCAGGTGGCACAAACACAGACAGCTGGAGTGTGAGTTTTTGCTCCTCGCATGGAGCCGGCGGCCTCCCGTAGGGTGGCACAACACCCTGCAGGATACCATGGGGACCCATCTGTCATGGCGAGGCCTGCTTACAGGCAACCCCATTCCACCCACTTCAGGCTAGACCTCCTGATACCCATAACCCACCCTGTCTAGGCCATGCGTGTTGTCAACAAAGCCATGTGACAGTGTTGATGTTGGCATTAGCACATCCTCACCCTATGGGTTAAAAGCAGCAATTCAGCTCAAGTGAACAAAGCTAGCTTAGAGGAATACATTTGTAGAATACATTTAATTTTTCAATACTTACACCAGTCTGAGCTCACAGTTAATTATTTTGAATTCGAAAAGATAGCTCTGTGATATATGACATGTCCCGTTTTTTTTCTGAATATCCGACATTCCATCTTATACTTCATTATCTTTACCAGGAAACGATAACCAGCACACACATATCACCTCTGATTTGTTGGGAAATTCCCAGACATCATCCATTCTTTTAATGGTGTTTATTTTTGTGTTTATTGTAAATCAAAATCTTGCATAATGTATTTTTTAAGCTGTTTAAAGATTGATGACTCAGAGCACATGCATGTTTCTCAAATTAATGAATTGAAGGTGAGCGACAGATTCAGAGACAGTGCTTAGAATTAATCCTTTAAAGCTGCGGGCAGCCTGCTGTAACAACAAGACATCTCAAATTAAAGTTTGAAAAATGCTAAACCATTGGGCCCACTTCCAGACTGCATCTATTGTGTATGAACACAACTAAAGCAGGGTCATTCACTGGCCATCCCCAGGTGTACAGAATGAAGACTAATACAACAACAAATCACAAGTTGAAAATTTTTATTCAAAAAATGTCAAAGAAACGAAAGAATAAACCTTAGGCACCAGTCTACGGAAGAAAAGTCTTTGGCTTTTACAAACACTACAAAACAAAAACAGAGGAAAGGTTTCTTAAACTGTACATACAAGTTACCACTGGCAATCATGTGGCACAAAAAAATTAAAATTAAAAAAACAATTCACTTCCATATAGCTCTATGAAAATCTCTTATTTCCTCAAGCTATCTGTACAAAAAAAAATCTTCATAAATTAAAAATATTTCATATAACTTAGTGACTGTTCAACATGGTGGTTACTTGTATGAGCAATTTTATTTCTGTATGCAACCTCTGCAACTCCTAACCCAGATACTATGGCACTTGGTTCAGACACCACTAGCAGCATTAACCTCATAAGACAGTATTACTTCTCAGTCTCAGGCATTACACGGAAATCTCAAGTATAATCACTGTGGCCCTTTAACATTTGTTGGACACCAGAGGGGAATGCTGCTGTGAGCTCGTCTCGACCCAAGACAAAACAACAAACATGTTTGTTTAAAGGAGCACAGACCTGATGAACACCCAGACGCTTTGTTGTCATTGTTGGTCTTTAACATCTGAGATCTACCTCTTGGATATATTGCTTCAAAAGCAGCAGCACTTTCAAAAACTATGAAACTGAATGAGTGGACATGAGTGGAAACCTTTTGTCGACCCCCTAATGGTTACATAAAACATCATAAAAAAATAGGTTTGAGGAAAATAAAAAAAAAGTATTCAAACAACCTTTAAGGAAACAGCTGTATGTGGCCAGCTCCTGAGCGTGGCTTTTGGTCTGGAAGGGCGGGCTGGACCTGCAAACCCGACCTAGTACAGAGGAGAAAGAAAACTCTGAGGTAGATAACTGGTCTGACTGACCACCAGGTCGAATCACAGGTTAAGTGGAGGACCCCATAATCAGAAAGCCTGCCTTTATGTACTACAAGAATACAATTACTTATTCTTATTTCAGTGCTAGGTCATATTGAGTTGCAAGTTTAGCACTGTCCTTTAGTTTACATTTGTTATATATATATCTATCTTTTTTTTCTTGCTAAGTCTAAATTTAATCTGTGGCACTTCTTCGATCCAGGCCTTCCTTCATGCCTCTGTGTGTCTGCACCGTACTAATACCTATAACAACTGAATGTAAATGTACAAAAAAGGCACACTGTCCTAACTGCAATCTAGCTTGCAGGGTCAATTTTTTTCCAAGTCCAAAAGACAAACTATGCTTTTTCTTTGGTGGAGTTAGTAACTATCGAAAGTGCCAAGTTTGTTTGTTTCCTATCAAAGAGCGAGGTGCAATACGTTCAACAAATACGTTTCATTTACCCCCAAACTCACTGGACTTTTGCCAAAGTTGTATTACAAGGCTTTGATGAGTTTTTTTTTGCACAATCATGAGTCTGTGTTTTCTTGTTGGTTTTTCAAATAAAAGTGAAAAAGACACACCCCATCAAAATAAAAATCCACATGACAAAAGAAGACAAGACCACAACAGAAAAACTAAACACATCTTTCCAATTTCATCCCCTTAACCCAGCAATTCCTTTTTTTTCTATTCTACTACACAAAATGATCAAAAGGCAAGATTCAAAAGTTGATCTTTTAGCAGAATCTCTAGCACATTCCAACATCCAGTAACATGTAAGGTTCTTACTAAATAAATATAACATCCAATAAAGTTTTCAGATGAAGTCATTTCATTCAAAACACTTTTTTTCTAAAATTCTCTTTTTTTTTCTATCAACTATTGGAGGAGAAAAGCAAAAACATTTTTTTTGCTTATTGCCACTCGCTGTGATGGCCTGTACAACTTCTGTATCAAAAACTAGGAAGGCAATTTTTTTTAATCAGACAGCAAAGATCAATCTAAAGTACTACGAGAAATCACTTAACAAGAAAACAACACTGAACACTTCACCAAAAGCAACACTCACACAGCAAGCACAAAAACATCATTTTTAAAAATGTCTTCAGGAAAAAAAAAAAAAGATCTGGAAATATTAACAAAAAGACATATTTACTCTCATGCACTTTGAACAACTAGTCACATGATTCTTCTTTCTTGTGTCCTGTGGAAATCCTTGGTAACAAAATAAACGTTTTCTAGTATGAAAATAAATCTTTTTCGCTCTCTTTAAATCATTAGATGAACGTAGATACTCTCTCTGAAAACTGATACCAAAAATAGTCTCACTTTAACATTTGCAGATCCTGTGCAAAACAGTGAAAAGATCCTTAGCATCCATTGCAAGTTGTAGACATGATTGTTGTCGCTGTCGTCCAAATGTTACCTCAGCGCTACTTGGTTTGTTGGTAGGAATACGGCGAATGATTAGCAGAGTCCACCTGTGACTGTGCACCATTTTCCTAGAAGAGAAAGAATAACCCTGATTCTTTGACAAAAATTACCTGCTGTTTTAATTGTATCCGGCTGCAATGATTTTAATGCACATACCTCTACTGGGACACTTGACGTCTGCATGTGAGCATACTGGGGGATATATGCTCCTTGCATAGCTGTGTTTGTGGCCATAAACTGCACAAAGAAATACACATTTTAAACTTTAACAAAGAACTTTTAAACACCTTCATCTTAGAACTCTGATCCCATGCAGAGATTTCTCACCGTTCCTGCACTGCCCAGAGAGAGGTGACTCATCTGTTGTGTCATTGGGGCCATCATGGAAGTGGGCTGTAGTGACATAGATGGGTCCATGGAGGGCGACATCACTGTACTCTGGAAGTGAAGTGGGAGCAGATGAGAGAAGTACATGTACGCAGCTGGTGGTGCACACAAAGAAACACTGAGTGTCGTCCTGGGAAGCTAAAATACTCCTCAAAAAAATATGAAATAAAGATTCAAATGATGTATTAAATATGTGTGTGCATGCTGAGTTTTGCAGGATTAGAGAGAAAATGAGTAATCTCAAGACTTAACATCTGATGCCCACAACAGAAGGTGGATAGTCACAAGTTGAGCAAGTTGTCTATAAGCATCTTGGCTGGCCTGATGCATCAAGCAGTGTTTTCTCATCTCTGCTGGCTCATTTTCAAAGCAAGAAAGGGCTCTCAATTCAAACCCATCTGTTGTAAAATTTTCGGCATCTGTCATCGAAATACGCAGTTTTCCAAAGCAGTTGTTTTTACGTTCCTATACAAACATTTGAGTACTGTCAATCCTCAAGGATCAGTGTCACCTTATGTGGAACTACTATCCATATTGTGTTTGTCTGTTTACAGAAAAATGTTTCATTTCTGCTACAACCACAGAGGAAAATGTTTTGATCGCATAGGGAAAAAAAAGGGAGAACGAGTTGTGATACAGATAGCGATGGTGAAAAAGAGATTTTTGCTCTTACTGGGTGTTGCATTATGTAGGGTTGATGAGGCATCCAGGATGGGTTCTGCACCTGGAACATCACACAAACACACTTTGTAAACACCCTGGCACTGAACAGCTGCTGTTTTCCAGAGATCACATGCTACAGCGATTGGCAGAGCAAAGAGCATGAAAGGCTGCAGCATCCTTTGTCACATAGTTCACCCACATCCCCGAACCCAGAAGGATGTGTTTCTAAATCCTGACGACACAGGGTTTATTTAACAGAAAAGCTGAGTTGCAGTACAGTATTTAAATCTACATATTCATCATTGACGAGAAGGATCCAAACCTGGTATGCTGAAAGCGGGGACATGTAGGGAGACATGGACGTTTGAGCGATCATCCTGTTTGAAATACTGTATGCTGGTGGGAAAAATCTGTGGACACAGAATAAATTGTACTTTTAATAAAGTCAAAAAGTAAGTTAAGCACATGACATATAAATTACCACCAGACATTGAAACCTCATCTGTTGTTATAACCTACCCATTTTGCAGAGCAGCTGCACTGGGGTCATAGGTGAGTGTCATTCCAGCCTGGGAGCAAGACAAAGCACAGGATGGGCGACTGAACTGAAGCAAGCATCACAAAACATAACATCTTCGGAAGTCTTGACAAAAGTCTATCTGTTCCTTTTGAGCTCACACCTGTAAGAGGGCGCTCTTGACTGACAGGGCAGAGAACAAAACCAGGATTACATCTACATAAAGAGGTCTGCAGAGAATCAGAATCAGATTTATTGTCCAGGTATGCTTACACACACACAAGGAATTTAACTTTGGTGAACTGTGCTCTCTTATGAACAGGTACAACATTAAATATCAACAATAAACATAATAAGAAAAGACTAATATGAAACAGTGCAGTGGTGAATAGTGCAAAAGATGCTGAAGTAACATGATAAGAAAAATGCAGTTATGTGACAGATGAGTCAATTAAGATGTCAATTACAGTATTTACATAAATAAGTGTGAGTATATTGATCATTTAAATTAAATAATATATATATACATATATGTATATTCACAGTGGCGGTTTGGTTTAGAGTCATTTCACCACGACAGGTCTGACACTCTGTGACTGTTTAGCGTTTATCAGAGTGACAGCCTGGGGGAAGAAACTGTTCTTTTGACGGGTTGTTTTGGCGTACAGTGATCTGTAACGCCTGCCAGAGGGGAGGAGTTTGAAAAGTTTTAGAGAGTTTTTAGAGTTACGGTTATGACATGTTATTTATTCCTGGAGGTGAGCAACACCTTCATTACTCATATCTGATCATAGGTAACCATTAGCGATTCATACCACACACCACATCTTTGGCATCTCTTACCAGTCTGGAGTCACCTTCCCTTCCCCACCCCCGACCATTCAGGGCAAATTTATTCTGACTTTGCCTCTTTTTCTGTCCGCCATCAGCAAACTTGCACAGCAAGGGTTCAGATGGTGCTAAACAGAGAACAAAATAAAAGGTTATTGTTTTAGTGTCAAACTGGATACACGCACACAGAGCTGTTTGTCATCGCGTGCTATACATTCTCTCCCTGAAGCTTGGGAGTGCACATTTACAAGCCAGCCTGGGAAAGCAGACATCTAATTTGGCAGCTGTGGAGCTGTAATCCCCTCCCCTTCCTAGAGGAGGCAAGGCCAGCAGAGACTATTTCAGTCTAATAATCCAATTAAAAAGCTTTAGAGAGGGAGTGGAGGCCACACAGAGCACTGCTCTATCTGCTTCTTCTCTTTGTCTGTGCTCTGCCACTTAGGGCTGAGTGTATGTGCTTTACCAACAGACTGACTGACTCCTGAAGGCTCACCATTTATACACACTGTACACATTAAAGTCAGAAGAAACATACGTTCATTGTGTCAGGTCTTTTCTATTCATGGGAAGGCAGTTGAAGAAGCTCATTTTACATCACATTTCTGCAGTGTGGGGCTGAGTGTGAGATAATTAGACAGTGTGACTTACCTGGAACACCTGCAGGTGTCTTGATAAACTTTCCATTGAAGTGAGAAATGACTGCATCACATTTTTCAGTTGACTCCATCCTGAAGTGACAAAAGGGAACAGAGGATAGCTATTAGTGATACAGCAGTCGAAGGGTAAGCAGGTACTTTCCGAGAACCGCACCATTTCTGGGTAGTTGTGAGAAAGGGAAGGGGGTTGTTTAAAAAAAAGCAGGCCCAATGTGAATATTCTTGTTAAGTAATCAATTGCCCTCATTTAAATTTGCAGCTGTATCTGTACACACCCGCAAACATTCCTCAGATGCATTTTGATATATGTGTTCTGTAAGTCATGGTCAGGTTATGTGAGTGCAAGGTGCGGAAGCCATGCAGCATCACCACTATAATTATATCAACCAGTCATTGTGAAACTATCTTTGAAAGGTGTTACCATTTGCCCATACATGAACTGTTCTTCCAGCTTTGTTATTTAAAACCTCGCTCTGTGTTTCTGAGTATGAACGTAAAATGAAACATATACTGAAATAAGCTACACTACAATTCACTCAGCAGACGCTTTTATCGAAAGCGATGTACATCAGAGGCAGAGAGTGTTAAGACCCAAAATAAGAACCTGTGTTTTAAGCCTTTTTCAACACTGTTTTATTAGCAACATCTTTATTTTAACATTGAGAGCAAGGCCTTCAATTATTTGGTATTGATATTGTGCTGTTTTATTTCATTAAATATCACATTTCATTTTGATTTGTTTTGCCCCCCTTGCATCCCTTCCCCCATCCCTGTCCTCACTTTTATTTTATTGGTCAGACAGCAGATTATTCCTGCGCTTGTTTTTTTCTACCCATGAGGCATATTTATTATTTTTATTTATTTATCTGTTTATTTAACATGGACATACAGTAACATTGAACCATGCACAAGTTCCAGATGCACTGCTCTTAGTGTTTATAGCAAAATGCTAATTTGCAACACCTGTCCACGGGAGGCTTTTAGAAACAGCAGAGATAAAGATAAAAAGGGTAAGAAAAAGAAAACAGTTTAGTTATAAATACAGCGCAGTTATGAATGCAACAGGGATAAAATGCATAATATCAGTCCATAAAATGTGTTTAGCCCAATCCCACCAGGGGTGTCCTATTTTACATAGTTGGTGGTTGGTTTTTGCTGTTGTATAGATGTATAGAGCCGTACAAAAAAAAGTCTCCGAGTATTGTTTCAGCACCGTGAGTCACCGACAATACATTGCTCCAGGGTCTGACCTTGCAAAGCCCACTCCTCTGCTGCCTCCAGTGGAGTCCCTCAGGATGCGCGTGGATATGACCTGGCCAAAGAGCTTCAACATGCTCTCCAGTTCCTGCTCATCCATATACAACGGCAAGTTGGAGATGTACAGGTTTGTCGGGTCTTGTTCTTGTTGCTGTGAGGAGGAAGCCAAAGGTATTGTGATGTAATTACACTTTAAGAAACGCTTAACACACACCTAGAAAACACTAAAACATTCCTTTGTTGTAACACTTTTAAACTGGCTGTAGTAACGTGTTAAGAAGAAGAATGCAGAGGAGGAAAGGCGACATTTCCTGCCTGTTCCCTATAAATGGCTCAACCTTTATAACACTTCTAATATGAACCTCAGTAATGGGGTTATCATGTCTCTGTTTATCCCTGCACTTTCCTGTCTGCCTCTGTTGGAGGTTTAAGGTAGTAAAGGGTCACTCTGAGCAGATATAAACAGAGATTTGCATGCAGCCCACGATGGCTAAAGGCTCACATCAGCCGATTTCTCGCCGTATTTTAATAGCATCAGCAGAAACACAAGACACGGCTTACGAGTCCCCGAGGAGTGGCCTCTCATCATTAATATTCATCAGCGCTGTGCTGTTCAGAGTCAAGCTACAGGGACAGTTTGGATTACTAAAAGTTAGACATCGACAGAAAAATCTGCACGTCAGAATTAGAGGACAATGAAAAGGCAGCAGTTTGTGTTGAGACAAAAAGTCAGGGAAGGTGTTTGGATGGGAGCAGAGATGAGCTTCACCACCTAGGCTCTGTGATTATCTTACACCTCCAAAGAGAGCATGAAACACACAATACCTTTTAGGTCTTTGGCGGCAGTAAGTTTAAGTTAACCCACTGTTATCTAGTTGTACATAAATTGTTTAATAAGCAGGATGTCAATTATAGTGGCTCTTCTCTTTTAAAACGGACTCTACCATCACTTAACAAATATGTGAGACAAAGAAAAAAAAGCAATATGGTGGTGAGATAAGACAACTGTTTGTGTTTGGAATGGGTCACCACCCATCTGTCTGCAATGAACTGTGACTGACGTATACTGAAGGAGGGGGGTTAAAAGGAGTGTTACTCACTGGGGTGTTACAGGGACAGGGAGTATGCAGTATTGTTCAAATGATGTGATCAGCTTCAAAAATCTTATTCTAACTCTAATGCCAAATAGGTTAGCATACATGATTTTTGGAACACCACATTCACCAAGCAGCTTTGTTGGAGCACTCTGGATGTGAAGTGTCTCCCTCAGGAGCACTATAATGGATGGTAATGAGGGATGGCTTAGTGCTGATCTTTCACTTCCCAAAACCAGTTTTAGCTGCTGATCCATAGAGGTACTCTGACTTCCCATCACACAGTTACACAAGAGTGTTTTCCCTCTATAGATTGTATCAACACCACTTAACAAAAACTCTACAGCTTTACAACAAATGTATAACTTTTTATTCAAATGTCCCTTTGAATGTATACTGGGAAAGGTAAATACACAGTCAATAATCACAAGTCATGCATCAAAACAACATAAGGGAGAAAAAAAGAAGGGAAACTCTTATCTAGCCACTTCCCACCACCTACCTATGAAATAATAATGAGAGCTAGCCCATTGAAGGCTGCCTGAGCTATAGAAAAAAAAACAGGAAAAGAGACCTTTGTCAGAGAGTTCATTAAGCCAAAGGCTCACACTTTATAAAGACATTTGCCTTCCACAATACAAAGATTAAACTTGGGCCTGCCCCTCAAAGCTGCTCTAGTTTAATTAAAAAAAGTAAAATGGGTGCACAGAGGCATGTCAAGAAGCTCCACAGATCCCCAGACAGGGAAATGAGGCCAACAGTTCTCGCTCAGCTCTGTATGGGAACTAATTTCCCCCGGCTGGTTTCAGTAACCATAACAACACACAATTATTTACTTCCTTTTCGCATGTTAGAGAGTGCAGAGTTGCACAGTCCTTCTTCAGGGTAGTGAAGTAGGGTTTAATCTCTTACGTTATAATGTAAACAACCAGAGCAAATCTGCTCTTTCTAGTGAACCGCGATGTGTTCATTTGTAATCCTGCAATAATTACAGAGTTTTAAATGAGAGCAGTATGGCGCCACTTTTGCTGCCTGCTCATTTTTAAGAGGACTAAGTAAAAAAAGTGAGATACTTCATGTGTGTGTAATGGCTATTTAGAGAGGACAGAAAGACTAGCCTTCAGCTCGTGGAAAGGCTTACTTTAGAAGCATGTTCACATGTTGATACTTTCTGGGGTACGTCATCCCACTGTCAGCACCCATCTCTGCACCCTATAGCCTCACTATCGGCACCCCTGTCCACTTAAAACAGTTCTTAAATGCTGGCTGGAAGCTCTCCGCTGACAGAACATCTTTGCAAATAAATATCGTTGGAGAACAGCTTAACTGTCAAGGCGCTCTTGTTGTATTTGCTTCGGATAATGTACAGCCTCAGTAAATCCGGGGCACTGAATTAAATGCCATACATACACAAGTATGCAGACTATTTTTGAGCACATGCTTTCATCATAATTCAAAGAGTCTATAGACTAACAGTTTGGGTACATACACACTGCAGTCAAGATGAATTCCTGGTATTTGATTTCGCTGTGGTTAAGGTTTAAGTTCCCTCTGTGGTCAGATGGACGAGGAACAGTGTTGCAGGGTGTCTCGTGCGGATGTGATACCGGGATTAGAGCGTAATGAATCCTCACCTTTGCCATCTGAGCTTGGACACCAGTGGTCTTCAGGGCAGCTACGGCTTTCTGAGCTGCAGCGGGGCTGTCAAAGTCCACAAAGCCATACCCTGTGGACACAAGCAGGACACTTAGACTGGTTTTTCTACAGCTATAATAAATACCGGTTTAGCCTCTGTGTTACAGTCTCATCTGCTCCAATTCGAAGTGAATGACACTGGGCTGTTATCATCAGCGGGTTCAACACAGATTCAATGTGGTTTTACAGTGTTGGATGTGTTTGAATATAGGTATTCCTGCATTATATAGGTCTAGTTAAAGGTGTATTTAAGTGCTATTGTGTGTGCTTTTGACTGTGTTCGTGTGAAAGCAGAGGTAGAAAAATGCTGAGGATGCAGCTACCAGTCTGACATTCGTGGCACAGGTCAGCTCTTTGTCCTGAGGGGGGGTACAAACAGGGTGGACCTTTTCTACAGCTGCTATAGTTAACCCACTGAATCTACTTTTTTTTATGTGAATATTTCAGGATGGTTTCAGCTTCAGAATAATATCCCATATTGGTCCCAAACGTTTAATAGAAACTTTGTCTTAGTTTACTATTAAAGGTCCAGATCATTCTGAAACAATAAAAAAAAAACAATGGCTTTAAATATATTTTTTTCAAACTCTGTTTCATTCAAGGTTATTTTTAAAGAGATCTCTAGATTCTCTTTAAAAATCAGCCAGAGCTTTGCTCGGTCTTAAATGGTGTCGCCTTTCACTGAGCGCTTTCGATTAACTGGCATCTGTTTAATCCAGAGGAGAGTGACAAAGCGTTCTCTTAATCCCATCAGCACCACAGAGAATCAGTAAGTCCCTCTGGCTACCAGAACTAGACCAAGACCATCACTGTCACCCAGCAGAAAGAGGAGGAGTCAGAGAATTCTTCCCACCCACAGCAGTGACACACCCACAGACGAGGGCTGGGGCTTAAAATAACATGAGCTGGGAGGCAGCTTCAAGCAGCCTGAATGTCTGTTTCCTGACTGGCCCAGATCATCTGAGACAACTGCGTAGCTGCTGAATGACTTTGTGGAAGTGTACAAGTGAAATTCTCTCTTAAAATAAGGTGTGGAAAGCTGTCTCAATATGTACCTTGTAACAAGAAATGGGTGGTGTTAAAAAGACAAAACAACTTCACACACCTTTACATTTGTTTGTAGTCTTGTCCAGGATGGCCTTTGTTGATACAATTTTGCCATACCTAGGGGAGGAGCAGAACGACAAGGCATTGTTAGCTGGATTATGCAGCACACAGAGCCAGTTATAAAACACACACACAGAGAAAGGGAGGGTTGAGCACCAATCTATGACATCACCGTACAAATATGAGAAACAGGAAGTGGTTTCCATGGGGTGCTCAAACTCCCCACCATGTGAGTGCAAAACTGAACAGCCTCCCCCAAACTCAACATCTCTCTCAGTCATTCACTGTTTATCAAATGTTTTAAAATAAAATGACTAGTTTTCATTTTATATGAAGGATCAACTGATGATACTGCTGTATATTTTCTCATGGCACACTTTCCCATGAGGAACACTTTTCTTTACATACATGTGTATACAGGCAAACTATTGCCTCACAAAACAATAAGAGATTGTGACATTCAAAAGTCTGGTCAGGTTTATGTTGTGTCATAAAGGTTTCTACAGAGTAGTCATGGTATACACTATAGGGAAGTGGTGATGATAACATCCACCATGTAACTACAGTGGCCCAACTGAAAAAGCGTTCAGATCTGATGGTATTGCAGTGATTTGGTAGGATCATTTTTTTTTTTTTAAATGATCCTCTACATAACATTTGGCTTTTGCAAAACTCTTCATTATTATCTAATTTCTGAAACATCTTTAAAACTGTACAGGCGTTTCTAGTTTTAGCATTTTATGCACCTGATGATGTGGAGAAGAAAATCTTGCAAAATTTGTATTCTACATATGTACCGTCTGGGGTTATCGCACAATGAGCATTTGCAATAAACACATTGCAAAAGTAAAATGGAATAAAACAATGTCAACACTATGCTGATGAAGTCAGATGAAGCCAAAGCTAAGCTACCTTAACTACCTTCAGAATCATTTGTGCCATGGTATTGTTTTAAAAACTGTTGCTGTTCAGTAGGGACACATTGCAAACACAAGTATTGTGTTAGTAAACATAAACATAGAGAACATCATGTAGTCATAAAAACTGAGTTTTAGCTAACATGCACTCTTGAATTAAAAAAACATCAAATTTATCTTGTTTGATTTTCTGTATTTGTCATATCGCAATATCTATCTATATATATATATATATATATATATATATATATATATATATATATATGGTATATATATATCAGAAAGAAAAGATATTGCATTGATTTTCTGTATTTGTCATATCGCAATATATACATATATATATATATAAATATATATGTATATATAGGCTATATATCAGAAAGAAAGGATATTGCATATGATACATGAGCTTTTCCAATACTGTGCAGCCCAACTTAAAAATGACCTATTTAATTTAAAGTGACAGAGATACAAGCCATGCTGTGCCCCACAGTCCATCAGGGTATTTTAGCCAGGGATTAGGTTAAATGCTAAACTGGGTGAGAGAGCATGAACTTGTGACCTTTGCTTCATCTGAACTCTAATCTCAAATGGTGTAGCTACAGAAGGTTAGCTTTAACATTCACATACAGTTACTGAATATGTTTTGATCCATCCTATCCTTTAGTTTAAAGTCATAGTGTGTACCCAAAACATGTAAAATATATATATATTTATATAATGTGATGGCATCTGAGGAAACCATTGTTTAACCATCAAAAGCCTGAATACAATAGAGGTGTATGTCACTGCAGATGCCAAGTCAGCGGGTATTATACTGTATTTCTAAATTGTTGAAGAATGAATTGGCAGCTTTGTGTGATGCAAAGTCAATATCACATTGGGTCTCAGGGAACAAAAGCTTGTAAAATCTTTGAGGTATCATGGTGGTCTCTCTACTTGAAAATAAACCATGTTTTAGCACACAAAGGAAACTTCAGTAAACCAAACGCTGACACTGTCTCTCTTCTATCAACCTATGATATATGTAATGTCTTCTAAGGCTTTCAAGAAGCTTTTTATACACACAGAGTCTCTGTGTTGTCTTTTCTCATGTCATATTGAAATGAAGCATGCAAAAAATGCAGAAATGTATCTAAAATGAATCATTACACTTTACTGAGTGATCTCTACTGCTCTTTTATTAAAGAAAAGCTAAATAAATCCTTGATATTTCAACAGACCTGTGGGGCTCAGATTGTCTTTCAAAATACTTTTTTTAACAGGACAAAAAATTACAATACATGTCAATTGTACCAGTGAATACCCCTGACTTGTTTGTGCTGATCACGTTTGTCAAAAAGGGATTGCAACTGCAAATTTAAACTAGTTGAATACAAAGTGGGCCAAAAAATCAATAGCTGGTCAATAGCTGATAATAATGAGAGGAAGTGTGATACTCACGGCTGACAGAGCTTGACCAGATCGTGGTCTGTGGTTGAAGGGGACAGGCCTCGGATGTAGAGGTTTGTTTTGCTGAGTTGGTCCCAGCCTGCAGTGCTGCTGCTGCTGCTGTTGTTTGTGCTGCTGTTGGTGCTGGGGCTGGGTGGAGCCATGGGGTGTGACGATAGGGCAGCAGGTGGCTGGAATAGGCAGAGAAACCAGATTAAATTATTTTTTTTATTTGTTTTTTGGGGGGGGGGGGGCTGCAAGGTTATTAGATAGTTGTGTTTTACTTCACTTGATATAATCGTATTGAACAAAATATATCGATATTCCTCAAGGGAGAGATAACAAGTCAAAAATTCAAAAATGTGCTGCAGGGGAACACATTTAAACTAAATCAACAACAATTCAAACTAAATCAACAACAGACCAAACAGTCATGGCTTAACTCCCATCATGATTGAAATGTTTTATTTGTTTCACCTCCAATCACGACCTGCACCCCTGAAGAGTGGCGTACTACACACTCAAGTCAACTTTGGCAAGGTGAGGAGTTATTCCACTGATGTTCAGAGGGAGATATTTTCGAAACCTAAAATTACTGATTTTGCATCTCCTTCAAGAGAGCAGAAGACAACCTACTCACGCTGAATTTTTTGAATATGGAGTAAATTATTTTCACATCCATGTGGGTTGATATACACAAAATAAGGGTCATTTTTCTAATGAAAGTTTAATATTCACTCTTTCAGCGCTGTTTTACTCTGTACTAACAAAAGGGAATCTAAATAGCTAGCACACTAGCTAGCTGCTAATGATAAAGCTTTTTTGAGCTTAAAAACAGCTGTTTTATGTCTAGAATGGATGCTGCTGTAGAAGTCAGAGTGAATACAACCTTTAGAGCATCAGATTTTAAAATCAAAACAGTGAAATAAAAGATCCTGAAACAGCCGTCGTCCAAGAACTCATTTCTGACACTAATGATCAGCATCAGAACATGAACCCCTTCACAAGAGATTTGTATAGAAAAATAGTCCAGTAAAGACCTGCTGCGAGTGTGTTTGTGTCCAGTCCAGTACAAGAATTCACTTTCTACAAAGCAGTGATCCATATCCGCAGACCTATCTCCATCACACCTTCACAGTCAGCACCATCAGCCTCCATAGGGCTTGTAGCTCTGACATCTGTGTCATAGTGTTGTCTGACTGCCCCGTGGTGCACAATAAGCCATTCACAGGTCAACATAAATGACCATCTGTGACTTCTTGACCTGAGCACTCTTATCTATGAGAGGAGCCTAATTGATATCTTTTGAATGGAGGGATCTCCTGTAGTGTATTTTTACACCTAGTCAAGACAAAACATAGGCTATTAAGGAAATACTATTTTTCCAAACAACTGGCAGTCAAACTTGTACTTATTATAGCTGCAGAAGGTGAGGGGGGTAGAAGATATCTGTTCACCTCCAGTTTGTTGAGCAACTCTTGATGTTTATTAGATACAGATGTCCCAGTGTGAGAGAGCTATAGCTGTCCCCCTTACAGGGATTCCTGTTCTTCTTTGCTATCCGGCATTGATTAACCCCCCCCCTCCCCACAAACCTCCCACAGTGAGGCATTACAAACTGAGGAGGAGGAAGCTCATGGAATCTCAAGCATGTAGTGGTGACAGGATTGGGCAACCTGAGTCTGGACTTCAGCCTGGAGGGTATATAATAGGTTTCAGAAGAGATGTGAAGAAAAGTAGTGCAATTCTAGGAAAAGTCTGAATAACTTAATCTAAGCTCAACTATCATAAACGTGAAATATGTCCCAGTTGCTCCCATGCAGCTAAAACAACAGCTGTAACTTGAACCGGCACAAGATGAGAAAAAGAAACAAAAACAAATAAAGAAAAGCAGTTGAGCAACAGATAAACGTTTTTACAATTAAAAACCACTTCCTTTAAACCTTTAACCACTGACAGACTGTCAGACTTTTACAAAAAAAAAAAAACGAGATTCATTCAAAGCAATCCAGCAATAGATTACATTATGTAAGGACATTTTTCAAAGACTGGGTTTCTCATGAGTGCAACTTGCTTTTCACTGGGACTGAAAAGGGAGTTTGTTTTAACACATCTGCCTGACTAAAAGCTCAGACAGCTTGACTGTGAAAAGACTGTGATGGGGAGAGGGCGGCATCTTATCAGCCAGCTCCAGACCAGCAGAGCCCCGTCATATCCGAGCTGGAAATACACAGGGCTTCCAGGAACAGGCCTCGCCCATGGAGCTCTATAGCCACAGGATGACAGCATGAGCACTACAAAGTAAATATGCGTATTCAAATCTATTTGCTCAAGGGAGATAAAAATAAATAAATATATGGAACTGGAAGAAAGTGACTGCACCAGAGGAAAAGTCCTCCATTGAGTTTAATTTTGGAATACAAAAAAAAAACAAGAAAGTGATCTTGTTTCATTAAATGGAAAGATGGCTCAGAAAGGCTATACTAACCCAACTTTTAGCCTAATGTTAAAACTTGTGTTTTGGTGGAGTTGCTGTTCAGTGGTGAGTTCAAGGCCAGTTTGTGTGTACGTAATTATGACTCCACATTTCTTATGACTGATGCTATTTGGAAAAGGTTAGACATATGTTTTGTTATGTAGCCTTTGTGGCTCCAGCAGTGTCGGACCTGGATCACAGCCCGAGTAGCAGGTAGGCCTATCTACATTATGTATTATGCAAAAGTGTCCTTTCCGAATCTTACATCAACCAAAGTGAACAATATCCTCATCGTATGAAACGGCAGAAAGTAAAACAAAGTAGCCTAAGTTTTCTTACTGTAAGAGCGTCGTTTATTTTATAATTGAGAGCTTCTATCGAAGTAAAGACAGTATGTCTATAACGTGCCCTTTTAAGTGAAAAATAAATACATCATAATAATAATAATAATAGTGTAAGCTATTTACCTGTTTTCGATATGGAGTCCTTAGTGGGTTCCCAGTATTCGCAAAAATCATCCTCAATTCGTTTCGGAAGGGTAGTTTCTCAGTTAAGCTATAATTTTCTATCGAAATGCATCAAAGTCCTCGGATACGAAAACAAATATTCGACATTGATATCCTCTTTACTCCTCAAAAGGACACAATAACACCTTTCTGTACATAATAACTGTATACATATCCTTATTGACGTCGACTGTCCGGCAACAGAAACCTCCGTAAATTGTCCCAACTTCGACTGCCCAGCCCCGTTTGTTTGACTGGCTTCAATGATTTGCAGACAGCGCTGCGCAGGACAGACGCTGTTACGGTGGAAGAAACCATCTAACGCTTTGCCGGGGGGGTGGTCTTTAAGTAACGTCACCAAAATACAAATTAATTTGCGTCTATTTCCATTTATTAACACTAATGAGTAGCTTTTATTCAAATCAAACACACGTTCTGGTATTTAAGACTGTATGAATTGTTCTTGTGAATAAAGACATTTAAAAAAGAAACTGTTTTCACCTTTGTTGCTGTTCGTCCCTTTGGAGGATGCATACCAAACATTCCACCGTGCGGCTGGTCCTGGTTCAGCTGGTTGTGATATTCGGACAACTTTGAGTATATTTATTGGGTTAACCTCACACGATATTGGTAGGCATAAGTGAAATAGGAAAATCAACCCTTGATAAATATTAGGTCTTATGTATTTTGCCATGACATATATCGTAAAGAAGCCTGGCTAGAAATGAGCAGGACCTAAAAGTGAACACATTCTGAACATAAGATGTAGCACAAACGTATCATCTCCTCTAAGCCTACATTTTGTTATGTAATTAGAGTATATTTAGAAACTGTTAGGCTATTAAACATGACACATCTGTTACACATATAGGTCTTTAAACATCCCTTTTAAGCAATTATATCGCACAACGAATTTTCCTTTCAAGAATTAGTGACACGAGGGACACATTTGTGCTTCTTATTGGCTGTAAAGAGGTGATATGGGAAAAAATCTAAACTTAAAGAAACATTGTGTTATAACGCAGATTTTGATTTTATTTACAAACTGTTTTGAATATTTCCCTCTATTAAATTCTGTCACCATTCTGGTAGGCAACTGCAAGTTCACCATGGAGCTAGTGCGAGAAGTTTTACAACTAACAACAATAATATCAATGTACTTCCTCTCAGGTCAAAAGGGGATGCAAGTCTCAGAAGGAATGGATAATGCAAAAAACCTTGGGAACAGGAAATAAATTAACATTGAGCAATCGATCGAGGGTTTCAGGAAATATAATCAATAATATTGTACTGATCCTTTGAGGATTATGTTTTTAAGGTTTGCAGTTCCACAGGTTATGTTGAACATGTAGCTATCCTGCAGCTTGATAGGTGCAGTAAGACCCTCTTATTGTGAAAGATGGCTTGTAGATGTTGTGTGTGTGTGTGTGTGTGTGTGTGTGTTTGTGTGTGATTCAGTGTGGGCCCTTTATTAGAGAAGACAAGAGGGGCAGACTAGGCTATAAATCAAAGGCAATCTACCCACCACTGTCACCTGCTGATTGGAAAACCAACACTGGTGGTAGAAAATGTGAATTAACTACGACCTTCAGGAAGGTACACGCATAGTGCTATTACCACTGCATAGCCTCACTAAACAGTTAAACCTTCTGGTCACTATAGGTTCAATAAGCAACTATTGTTTTGTGTTAACAACAAACGAGACCATGCAAATTAAAGACCTGTAATCTCTTACATTAACAAGTAGACCTACATATTGTAATCATGTCTGAAAATAACATTAAAGGGAAGAAGGTGTCCTAGTTGTGGCTCTTAATTGATGAAAAACTGTTGTGTAAGCTTCATTATTGCTGCAATTATTGTGAGCTCACTATGACATTGTTCTTTTTGCGAGGCATCAGAACGATCTATATGTGAGATACATGATAAGCCACTCCTAAATGAAAGCAAAGGTCACCATTAGGGCATGTAGAAAAGTTCACCAGGCCAACAGGAGTCAATGGGTCAGCATTAGAGTAGAGGGAGAAAGGTCTGATTCAGCACTCTGCTCTGAAGGGGGGTAGGGAGAGGCAATTGAAGCACTATACCTTTAATGAAACAGTGAGAGCTAAGGTCATCTTTGATCCTTGCGTTTATGTAGCATTATCATAACACCATGACAAACCTAAAAATGTATTTAATATTATTGGAAATGATTGTTATTATCATCCATTCTTCTCAATAATCATATCATTTGCACAATATTTTCCATTTCCCTAGCCTGTCCTGAAATGTAAACCTAGTTTAAATGTAAAGCCTAAAGTATATGTAAAACTAGATTGTTTTTCAAAAGGCCAACAGAGGAACAATCAGATATCCAAAGACTATGCTGTTCTCCTTTCATTATAGATGCATCTTTAGATTGCACATGCACCATTTCCAAAACAGGTTTAAACATGCAACGATGCAAAGATGTCAGTAACCGCTAAAATCACAAGCCAAAGACACACAGATAGACAAGCTCTCCACACTCCCCCCCCCCCCTCTCCCTCTCTCTCACACACGCACGCACACACACACACAGGGTATTTCCAAGGGAAATAAGAGAGTGAGGTTATATCAGGACATTGTGCCACTTGTTCTCACTCTTTCCTGAACTAATGAAAGCCGCCTATACTTGCAAACAAAGCTGAGGTATATGAAGAAAGTGTTGCTCTCAGTTTTGTCCTCACAAATCACAACAGCAATTACAGTCTCACAGCTCATCTTGTGAAACGCAGTGGATTCATGTTTGATTCCTAAGAAGTTCCACAGAGTTATAGCAGCTCCAGGAAGCTTTTAGTAACACTTCTGCGGCTTCCTGCCTGGAGGGAAGGTTTGGCTCGGGGCGTGTGACCCCTCTTTGGCAGCAGCAGATTCATTTCCCCTGGCTTATGACTGTAAATCAGCCACAAGAGAAAGAGAGCTGTGAGTGCCAATATATGTGTGTCACACATTGAAAAAAAAGAGCCACATTCACAACTCTAGTCTTTCATTGAGGTGCTGATGTGGGGGTGGTGTTCATGACAGGCCAACTCAGTTATCCAAAAATGAATGAGTCACTTTACTGTTTCTTTGTAGTAATGGTTGAGGATTTAATGAACCAGAAACATATTATGGCATGAGGTTCAGATTTAAGTTTGATTTACAGCAGTGGAGAATTAGGATATCATCATCTGCAAAATCCATGCACACAGCAATCTAAATCTTGGGTATCTATATTTATATATATAAAAGACAGCATTAGTACACAGTTATGCATTTAAGCAGCTGTATTATAATATCGGAAATACTTTTTCTGGTGTTAAATAAAACATTTGGCAAAGGGATTCAGCCATCAAGAAACAGGAAATTGAAAATCACCTACACCATCTGATGTGAGACACTCTTTATTAACTCCCATGAATGTTATATTCACATATAAAGATATGCTGAAGCTTTGATAAAATCACTTTTCCTTGAAAGGAAATTAAGTTTAATATGGGGAAAAAAAATCATAAAGAGAGTGTTGAAAAAACAAATGTTATCATTATATCAAAGAAACTACTATTTTTCATTATAAGCTGAATTGTCACCTAGGACTTTGAACAATAAGGGTTTTTATTTATTTATTAAACGCACATATCTGAAGCTTTCCTGAATCATTTCAAATATATGAGCGGAAACACTTGACAGCAAGCAGGAAAGGTTTTATTGTGCAGCTTGGCCTTCATTTTTCCCTGAGAAAGAGAGTCATATGTGTACAAAGGCCGCTCTTTCAGGCTTGACGCTGACATAAAGAGCAGGCCCACTGCGCTCTTTCATTGTGTACATTCTGCTGCCAGGCAACTCTCCAAACTTTATTGTAAACACTGTGTGGTGCTGTTCAGCCTCAGCATAATGCCATTGTCCACATTCTCACCATGGCAGTTAATACATTCAACTTGACAATGATTGAAAGTTTACTTTAGGGGAGGCAGCCTGCTATACGATTACAAAATATATTACCAACTTGCCATTACTTTGCAAAAAAAAAGTTATGCTGCCTCCCAAAATAGCATTTACACTTATACATCTTTATAAAAAAGCCATCTGCGGGGTGAAATTCATACGATCAGAGAAGTAGACTCTGCTATTTATGCACTAAGGCACTTTTTGACAATCTTTCTTTTAAAAATATTAGAAATCCCACTGATTATGTAGCCTACATTTTAATTTTTATGCAATCTTTTTTCTTTTTTGGTCATCTGCTAAACGCTTGAATAATCTCAAATGAATCCTATCATCATAAAAAGTCCATAGATTACATAAATAAACAGTCCCATGCTGTTTCATCCTTATCCCACAGGAAGTACACTAATCCAACAAAAAGCATAACGAAAAGATAACTGATAGTGTGAATACATGCTTTGTGTTTCCTCATGCTGGTAGAAATTGTTTATGAGGAGCCTTAAGTCTCCTGCTGATAAAATTTTCATGATCCTGAGTAATGAATCGCACCACAGGGCTCTTTATGTTCTCAGAGAGAGCTGCAGGTCAGCTGAGGACTTTCCTCCTTACCTCATATGGCCTCTCACTACTTCAGTGGTGTTTCATCTATACTGACTTTTTAAACTATTTTATCACATAAAGCAACATAACTGACATGAAAACACATGAACATAGAGCTAGTGGCAACAATATTTGCAGTTTTGAAAATGATATGGATTAGCTAAATCAAAAAACAAAACATGGGCTCAGTGTTTAGTTAAACCCGCTCTCAAGAGCAACAATGGTTTCTTTATCAAGTACGATAACGAGAATTCTGCTTTTTGTATGCTGTGTTTGCACAGTATAAATCAAGTCCACCCATTCTAACAAGAACATGCAGTACTTAATGCGAACCACCACAGTGTATCTCGCTTTGCATGTATCGTGAATATTGAGGGAATCGGACACATTTCCCTCAAAGAAGAAATAAAAACTCTTAGTGAGTCTGATACTGAAATATTTGACCTCACCCTCTGTAAGAAACAAACCACTGTGACCCTTGCTTTCCGTATGGCTATTGATTTGGGACATCAAAAATTCATTCTAGTGACAAATTAGAAATCAATACAGGTATTTTGAGAGGGACCACTTATATATTGCTTGCTCACTTTGGGGGTATTGGACTGCTGCCATTGGTTGAATAAAATGAAAATAAAAGGTGTGTGTGTGTGCGCACCAGAATATAATCAAACTTGACCAGAAATAAAGTGTGTGTTGAACAATAAGA